AAAGAGGAGACGGAGGGGGGACAGGATAGACTGGCAGGGCTGGCTGACTCTAGTGCCGTCTGGCCAGAGTCTACCCCTTTAAGGGCCCGGGGCTGGGGGAGAGGAGAAGAGTTTTCCTGGTTGTGCCCAAAGAGGCCACCAGGGGGAACCTGGGAAGGGCTCGCCTCCCACTAGTTCTAACTAAAGGGCTACACAGCTAGTAAGTTCGAACTAGGCTTAATCCTCGTAAAATGAGGTTTACCTAGTTCGAACTAAGCGCTCCGTTAGTTCGAATTAAGTTCGAACTAACGGAGCGCTAGTGTAGCGCCTATGAAAGTTAGTTCGAACTAACATCCGTTAGTTCGAACTAACTTTGTAGTGCAGACATACCCTTAGAGTCTGTTTGTTCCTCAGGGTTTTTCATGTATCTTCTCGAGGTGGGGAGCAGCCTGTGAATCCAGCTGAAGATCATTGTTGTTTGTGTCCCATCCCTTCAGTGGAATTTCCCCAGGGTGGGAAGCCTTTGTTTAATTCTCCCCACCCCACCTCTGTGGAAAAGTACAAAATTCAAGATGGATTCCAGTACCAGGTGGCGTAGTCACATGTCTCTGTAGGACCAATCACAACCTAGGCTACCAGGAAAAACAAGACTCTCAGATCATTGCCTTGAGCACCGGGCCATTAAATTCCCTAAGAACTGCTAATGGCCTTCATTAGCATATCTAGATATATAGCTGGCTGTATACTTCATAACTCTAACTTTGCAAGCACTCAGTGTCAAAGGACACTTCCATGTTCTCAGGAAGGGGGTGTTTTGGAAGAAGTTACAGTCTGGTAGCCCCCTGAAGAGCTCTGGTTGTAGATCCCGGCTCTTGTGTGACCTGCAGCTGGGCTTAAAGGGACAGTGCCCTGGGATGACCACTTTTTTCCCCCTTCCCTGATTGCTCCCGAGGATCCTTATTCCAAACACCTACAGCAGGAGGAGCTCACACTGCCTTCACATGCCAGTGCCCTATGCCAGCAGGGATTATAGTTTTCTGTAGGGGCGGACAGCCCCGAGCACAGCGTGGTCTCTACCATCCCGCACGAACGCTCCCAATTATTATCAGAAAGAAAGTGACAAAATAATAATAAAAAAAGTTCCCGTCTGTTTGATTTCCTTGCGCCTGACGCGAATGGGGACCAAACAGCTGCCCGAGAGCCAAACCCAGGGCTGGCTCGAGCCATTCCTGCACCCAGGGCAGTGGGCATGCAATGCATGCGTGGCCCCGCCCCCAGCGGGCTGCACACCTTACAGCTGCCATCAGGCGCCCCCCATAAGTTGGTGCCCTGGGCAGCTGCCCGGCTAGCCCCCCCCCTTAATCCGGCCCTAGCCAAACCTGTGAGTCTGGCTCTGCTATGGGCCACATGGGGACATGGGATTCAAGCGTCCCCACCTTTTCGGAAGGCTCAGGTTCGGGAGCCGAGCTTGGGGGTTCAGGCCTAGTGGGGAGGACTCTCCCCTGCAGTTAAAATGAAATGCACCAAAGATTCATGAGGTCTGCAGTGCAAGTCCTCCACTCCCCCCCCCCCCCGTATTCAGGCTGCCTGATTGGCTGAAAGCAGCTACATGCCTTATCATAGTTGTCACAAGGGCCGGGGGGAGGAGGGGTACAGGGAGCTGCCCAGATGGCTGTAATGCTCCTCCTCCAGCATCCCTTCCCTTGGCTCGCATTGGGACAGGCTGCTGGGCTTAAATTCACGCAAGCAGGAACCCCAGCAGCTTGGCATCCACCTGCCCATGGAGGGGACTAATCCCATCAGAATGCCCCGTGTCCCACTGAAGGCAGCCGTTATTCCTGGGACTTACCCACATGGTGAAGCGATTCTGGTCTCATAGTTGATCCATCTGGGTGGTGAGCAATGTTCCCTCTCATTTTTTCCGTCCATGTGCAGAATAAGTTTTGTTCTGTGCACCCTGGCATGTGCAGAGGTGCACCACCAGTAGAAACACAGGCTGCTGGGTGTGGGCGCTGTAGGCGCTCTGCCAATCAGCTGGGTGGCACTGGGATTTCTCCTGGGTGGCTGCCCGAGCGCTCAGCTTACAAGGGAACACAGGTGTTGAGGGAACGTGGACCACACATCTCCAAAATTCCCATGCTTGGAGATCCCATGCATGTGCAGAATAAATTTTGTTGTGTGCACCGAGGCATGTGCAGATGTGCACCACCCGAGAAACACAATGGTTGGCTGAGGGTGTTCTGCTAATCAGCTGGGTGGCACCTAAATCTCCCCTGGGCAGCCGCCCAAGCACTTCGCTTACAGGGAACCCTGCTACCGACCTGGGAGGATGGGGCTGTGGCAAGCGAGCGTGGCGTTCAGCTACAACGGAAGCAGAGCGTGCCACAGAATATCAATGCCCAATCCTGAGCGACTGTCGGAGGGAGCGTAGAACCCATCCTGCCTTGGGGCGTTGCCCGAGCCCGGCCTGTGGGAACGGATTTCTAGGCGCAGTCAGACTCGAATCCGAGCGATATGATTGTTATTAAACAGCGAGCAGTCCAGTCGCAAATGTAGAAAAAAACATCTGGTACCGTGAGCAGTCGTGGGTGAAACCCCCTTCCTCCAATGAGGGTTCTCATTGTCAGTGGGACGGAGAACCAGGGGAGGGTGAATTGGCCACTAGAGGGTGCTCCGGCAGACGCAGACCGACACCTTCGGGGGAACCGGTGCTTAGTTCATGCAAAGTGCCTACCACTGGCTTCCGCTTGCCCCCTGCCCTCCTTTCTCCATGGGCCCCCGTGGGCCAGCAGGGAATCCCACGCCGGGAGCCCATGTGTGCCCTTGCTCCCCTTGGGTCTCTCTCGTAACTGTCGCCTGAGGCCGGGTGGGTCCTTAAAGCACCACCCACGGCACCCAGTTCAATCAAGTCCCACTGCATCAAACGTCCATGCCCCGTTGCCACTGTCCGCGACAGGCTACGCTGCAGCAGGGAGGAGAACTCGGGAATCCCACGCCGGGAGCCCATGTGTGCCCTTGCTCCCCTTGGGTCTCTCTCGTAACTGTCGCCTGAGGCCGGGTGGGTCCTTAAAGCACCACCCACGGCACCCAGTTCAATCAAGTCCCACTGCATCAAACGTCCATGCCCCGTTGCCACTGTCCGCGACAGGTTTTGCTGCAGCAGGTGGGAGAACTCGGCCTGCTCCTGCCGGCCTGGCCCTGCTCTGGCTGGGTCTCCGGCCTCCAGGAAGTGAAGCCGGTGGCCCCCAGGCCGGGACATTTGCTTTCTCCTGCTTTGCATGACATCTGCTGCCCCTTTTCCATGGAACCCCCTCGTTAACCTGCTCTGACGTGCTGGCAGCAGGGACGAAGGGGCTGTTGCTTTAAAGCTCATAAGGAAAGGGTGAGGCCGGTGCTGAGCGTCGATGCAAGCAACACAAAGAGAGCACAGAGTAAGAGGGAGAGCAGTGACCATGGCCACCCCCTCTCCTGGGAGCTCACAGCCCTGGGCTTTGAGGCTCTTTGCAATCTGAACACAGCTGGGCAGCTGATCTCTGCCGTCCTAATGGATCAAACAAACCTTCTGCCCCTGAAGGAGCCCCTCTCTAATCCAGATGGACCTGTGGATGCCAGGCAATGTTCCCTCTAAACTTTCCCATGCATGTGCAGACTTGTTCCAGCCGTGTGCGGAATAATTTTTCCATGCGCACCAAGGCATGTGCAAATGTGCACCCCCACTAGAAACACAAGCCTAGCTCTGGGCACTCTGCTGATCAGCTGGGCGGCATTGGAATTCCTCCCGAACGGCCGCCCAAGCGCTCAGCTTTCAGGGAGCACTGAGCTCAGGGCACCTTGGGGTATCATACAGAAACATGGGCACCCAGAGACCATCCAGGAAGACTGGGGCAGAGTGGGAGAAGCGGATGCTGACCCAGCCTGCTGCCTGGGCCTTTTCAGATAATGAAATAAAGCCAAAGCCGTATAAGCGGTGTGCATGGGGTGTGGGTTGGAATTGGGTGGTATTCCTTTAAATAGGCCAAGAGCTTTCCAGCAGTGCACACTGTACTCTGCCTTTTAGAAGATGCCAGACATCAGCTAGTGCCCCGGTGCTATTGTAACCCAGACTGTGTTGTTAGGCCTGGCATGTTTGTGCCCAGGTAGTAAATACAGCTCTTTGGGATCAAGCTGGGCCCCCTGTGGTGCCATCAGACTGTTCTTGTGGTGTAGCGAGTGTCTGTGTGTCAGTGTGTACAGTCTGTGCATGTGTAGCCTGTGGATCAAGGAGTACAATTGGTGGAGGGTGTGTGTGTGTCTCGGTGTGTCTGTGCATATAGCTTGGGTGTGTGACTGTGCCTGTCTGTGTGGTAGTGCATACAGCTTCAGTGTGTGTGTGTGTTAGTGCACACAACCTCAGTGTATCAGTGTGCCTCTCGGTGTGTCAGTGATGTACACTCTGTGACTGTGTAGACTGTGGGTGAAGGAGTACAATCGGTGTGGGGGGTGTCTCGGTGTGTCTGTGCATATAGCTTGGGTGTGTGACTGTGCCTGCCTGTATGGTAGTGCACACAGCCTCAGTGTATCAGTGTGCTTCTCGGTGTGTCAGTGGTGTACAATCTGTGACTATATGGGTGAAGGAGTGCAATCGGTGTGCATGTGTGTCTCGGTGTGTCAGCGCTTACAGCTTGGGTATGTGACTGTGCCTTTGGGTGTGTCGGTCTACAATGTGTACATGTGTAGCCTGTGGGTCAGAGAGCACAATGGCTGTGTGTCCGGTCTCGGTGTGTCTTGGTGTGTACAGTCTGTGCGTACAGCCTGAATGTATGCCAGTGTTCCTGTGCAGTCTGTCTGTGGACAGCAGCTACGCCTGTAGCTGCACTTTTTAGTAAGATCACAACACAGGAAGCTGAAGTGAGACATGTACATGTTTAGGAAAAAAACCCAACCCGACCGCACGTCACAGGGTTGTGAAGTGAGATCGGGAGCACGCCCAGCCCTGAAGGCAGCAGCAGGCAGGCGTGGGGGGGGGGGGGGGGGGGGGAAGAGTTAACCCGGAGGGTGGAGAGCCAGGGCCCGTGGAGGGAGAGGTGATGAGCATGGGTGAGAGGTGGGAGGTGTGAAAGATCGAGCCGGATTGCAGGCCTGGGAGGGACAGGAAAGTCTGCGCGGCAGAGGGGCTGAGAGAGGATGCTAGAAGATGGACGAGGTGGCTGTGAAGCAGGGTTTGCTGTACCTCCAGCAGCAGCAGACCTTCGGGAAGGTAAGGACCCACGCTGGCGGCTGGGCCGGTTGGAGGCTGGTTGCTGAAGCTCTTCCCTGGGAACTCCCACGCGCTGCCGGGGGCCCCGGCTGCCTCCGTTCTGCACGGCACCTGTCACGGCTTCGCCATTTTGCCTTGCTGCAAAGCGGGACAGTTCGCAGTGCAGTGCTGGGTCCAGGCTGGGAGCGGCAGGAGCTCCATGCAGCCAGGGGGGTTTCTGCGGGGTTTCCCCGCCTCTCCTGGGAGACGAACCCCCACTTTGTCCTCGGTGCCCGCTACCAGCCCTCGGGGTGGTCGGGATGCCCTGGAGTCCTCACTGATCCAACTGCACCGGCCTCCCCTCTCCGCTGCCCCCACGGCTCAGCGGGGCACAGGCTGCAACTTGCAGCGTTTCCCCCCCTTGTCCTGCCCGAGACCCCAGGAGTGACACCTCCCCCCAGACAGCAGCCCCGGGGCAGGCTGGTCTCCGGCCCTTTCCATTTCTCCAGACCTGGCAAATGGGACTCCAGTCTCGCAGTACAGAGACAGGGACGGTCTGTGCTTGCTGAGGGGGTCGGGGTGCTTGGGGGGGGATTTGTCCCAGTGGCATCGATCCGGGGGCCTGATTGTGATTGGCACACACATGGGCTGGGCTTTACACAACAGCAGTTCTGGCCGGAGTCCCGCCGCCACGCCCCCGGCCTGACACATTGTGCTCCCCGCTT